ATTCATTACTCATGTTTACGTGATCATGTGTTTATATGGGATTATGAGAAACTTGTTGCTACTCAATTGCATAAAATTGTGACTCAATAAAAGCTAATTGCAGTTAAACCAGTGTCTACCTTTTGAGCCTCATGAACCCCATGTTATTCTTGTTGAGTACGAGATGTACTTACGCTTGTTTATTTTCATTATTTGGATAAAAATCCCAGATAGGTAACAGAAGGTGGGTTTAGTGAGTTTTCTAAGGAGTGTTAGGCGTATGTTACTCCAGTCAATCGTCCCTGTGATGAATGGAGCCTGAAGAAAAGATTTGCACCATTCCGCTATACTCAAATGTAAGTGTTAATGTAACTATGTTTCCGCTATATAACATTGTTTCTGATATTTTTCCTTTCTGTTGTTGTATGTGTGGACTTCCTAGGCACACATATGGCGAGCCTGGTTTTGTTCTTAAAACCGGGTGTGACAGGTAGACTCATATCGTAGCTTGTGGAAGCACAACAAAAGTTGCATAAAATTTGTCATTCTCCAATCTATATGGAAACAAGTTAACTTTGACGTTTGTAAAAGCTAGATGTACATCTATTTGAATCAAGAGCTAGAGTTCAACATATACTCCTTGCACTAAGGTTTATTACATGCTCTAGCTTTTCTCTAAGTTAATTTTCCCTAACTTTGACAAACTTCCTAGAAAATCAATCCAAAATTTTGAACATCAAGTTTGTTTCGTTGAATTATTTATGACATATGTATTGGTAGTGCTTTTTTGTTGTCAAAGTTTATTTGAAACTTTGTCAAAGTTATACAAGATTGGTTTTAGACTATACTAAAGTAAACTGTAATCAAGAACACAAGGAGTGTGTGGCAATTGCCATGTTTAGCTATAAGCATTCTAATTTTGTAAATCATTTGTGTGTGCATGCATCTGCATCTGTACATACTGGGATTTCATTTAGGCTTGATCTTGTGGCATTTATTCATTCATTGCTGAATAACATCTCACCAAACTACCGTGCATGCTTTAACCATGACTACAGTACTACAACAAAGTCTGTTGATAATGGCTTTGATACACATGAGCAAGTCATAACTTTACATACTCGTCATGTTTATAAAGTGGAACATTTATGATGTGGCTAAGGTTGTAACATGTGTAAAGGTGAAGTGATCATGCATGTCACTCCTCATGTATCAAAAAAATCCAATATAAGAAGAAACTTTTTCTTTGTACATAGTGGAAATTGTCTTTCCTACACAGACCATATAGTGCAATGAAATTGATAACTAAATGTCAAAATCGACTAGGTGCCATGTCATCTATAGCTTATCTGTTGTTTAGCAAAAGCCAAAATCTAAACAGATATACATGAGCTCTCGCTTGTATAAATAGGCCCCAAATTAGTAGTTAATCCATCATCCATAACATTGAGAGCAATCAGAAACATACCAAGTGAAACAAACTAGCAACGTCCTCGCAACAATGGCTACCAAGATATTTGCCCTCCTTGCGCTCCTTGCTCTTTCAGTGAGCACCACAACTGCGGTCATTATTCCGCAGTGCTCACTTGCTCCTAATGCTATTATTCCATAGTTCCTCCCACCACTTACTCCTATGGGGTTAGAACACCCAGCCGTGCAGGCGTATAGGCTACAACAGGCACTTGCGGCAAGCATCTTACAACGGCCAATTACCCAATTGCAACAGCAATCCTCGGCCCATCTAACTGTACAAACCATCGTAGCGCAGCAGCAGCAGCAACAGTTCCTGCCAGCACTCAGTCAACTAGCCATGGCGAACCCTGCCGCCTACTTGCAACAGCAGCTGCCTGCATCCAACCCACTGGCCCTGGTGAACGCTGCTACATACCAGCAACAACAACAGCTGCAATAGGTCCTGTCAGCGCTCAGTCAACTAGCCGCGACAAACCCTGCCGCCTACCTGCAACAACAACAACAGCTGCTTGCATCCAACCCACTGGCTACGGCCAACGCCGCTGCATACCTGCAACAACAACAACTGCAATAGATCGTACCCACGCTCAGTCAACTAGCCATGGCAAACCCTACTGCCTACTTGCAACAGCAACAACTGCTTCCATTCAACCAACTGCCTGTAGCAAACACCGCCACGTACCTACAACATCAGCAGTTGCTGTCAGTTAACCCACTGGCAGTTGCTAACCCATTGGCTGCCGCCTTCCTCCAGCAACAACAATTGTTGCCATTCAACCAGATATCTTTGATGAACCCTGCCTTGTCGTGGCAGCAACCCATCGCTGGAGGTGCCATCTTCTAGATTACATATGAGATGTACTTGATGACAAAGCTCTCATACCGGTGTGTGCAACTTACCAGGAATAATCAATACATTGATAGAGATTTATCTGAGTCTATTTCTTAACTGTGTTCTTCATATATACAATTGAAAACATCAAATCACAATTAAAGACACATGCCTGGTTAATACATAGACAATACCACATTACTTCATCAATCCAAACATGTGCAAGCCCAACCTCTTGAATGTTCTCATCTAGGTGTGCGTGTGTGTTTATAAGATTGATGCAACAGTACGCCCTTGTAGATGAGTACTTGCATCTATGGTATGTTTTTTGAGAAAGTGATGGGCACATATGCTTTGACCAACGGCCATTCAAATTAGGTGCACGTATACCAAGCAAAACTTAATGAGTTCATCAGTAAACCTACACGTGCGTCCAAAGTTGTTCACGCAAAGTCTTACCTCTTAATTATTGTTTTCAGTAAATACTTGGTGTGTATGTTTTCAACTAGAACCCAAATTATGCGGGCCACCATAGTATTGTAGACATATAGGGAAGTCTTTGGAGCCTGTGAACTTAACAACACCAAGGTTATTAAATCATTTGGTAACAACAAAGTACGAAACTTCTTGCCTAATAAAATTTATGATGAATATGAAGTTTAAATTATTATCCCATGAACAAATTAAGGAAAATGTTGTTGAGGGACACCAAACTTGCGTGGAATTGGTTGCTCAACAAGCTAGCTCATTTTTCTGCTAGGTGGCATTACCAAAGATGGGAGGATCCTTGCTGATGGACACCATAGCCAATAAAATAATATTTAGATTTGGGGTATTTAAATCTAAAAGTAAGCCCTCGAGATTGAAGTACCAACCGGCCACAACCATCCTACACTTTTATAGAGAGAACCCACCTGGAGTGCCATTCTCACTCCTAGCTTAGTCCAATGGATTGCAACTTCCTTCTATGTGTAGCATGTGGCAAAGGGCATTTTCTAAAATGTTAAATCTAAAACAACAATTAAGAAGTTTAATACAAACATGACGGTTTACTAGGCATAGCTCATAACACTAGAACCAACGTAGCCCGCACTCACATGTCAAATAAAAACCAAAGGAATATCTTATCACATCTATATGAGCACCATGACACAAATTAAATAGACCCATGCAATTAATTCCTACGTAAATAAAAAGGAATAGTAAAGGAACCCATGAAGAGTTTTTCCCTCACTCTGATTATGTGTGAACAGAGAAGTTATTCTTTTTAAATATTTTTAGCCATATTGGATTTCCTTAGCCCAAAATAGGTGTTCGGTCCCAGCGTTAAGCTTATCAGCCCAATGTTCTCGATCTTCGTTGTTACGAGATTCAATTCATGTGTAGGGAAAGCCAAAATCTCATCAAGTAGACTCAAAGGAATTAAATATGTGTACCCATGGCACATTGTTGTTGGAAAAAAGAATATGAAGGAGTGTGTTGTCGTGGAACTTCAAGTTTGGATCTTGTAGTTTTGATAGAAAAATCAATGATGACCCCCCATCTTAGTCTCTTTTTTCCATGAGTTTTTCCAGCATTGCTTAAGAAGGTTTACATAAATGATCATGTTGTCTTTCTTCTTGAATCGATCTATGCATTTGAGCCCTAACTGATGTTTCAGACAGCTAGAAGGTTGGCCATGGCCCTCTTCATCTGTATATTGATGGGTAGACTCATATCGCAACTTGTGGAAGCACAACAAAAGTTGCATAAAATTTGTCATTCTCCATTCTATATGGAAACAAGTTAACTTTGACGTTTATAAAAGCTAGATGTACATCTATTTGAATCAAGAGCTAGAGTTCAACATATACTCCCTCCACTATGGTTTATTACATCTCTAGCTTTTCTCTAAGTTAATTTTCCCTAACTTTGACATACTTCCTAGAAAATCAATTCAAAATTTTGAACATCAAGTTTGTTTCGTTGAATTATTTATGACATATGTATTGGTAGTGCTTTTTTGTTGTCAAAGTTTATTTGAAAATTTGTCAAAGTTATACAAGATTGGTTTTAGACTGTACTAAAGTAAACTGTAATCAATAACACAAGGAGTGTGTGGCAATTGCCATGTTTAGCTATAAGCATTCTAATTTTGTAAATCATTTGTGTGTGCATGCATCTGCATCTATACATACTGGGATTTCATTTAGTCTTGATCTTGTGGCATTTATTCATTCATTGCTGAATAACATCTCAGCAAACTACCGTGCATGCTTTAACCATGACTACAATACTACAACAAAGTCCATTGATAAAGGCTTTGATACACATGAGCAAGTCATAACTTTACATACTCACCATGTTTATAAAGTGGAACATTTATGATGTGGCTAAGGCTGTAACATGTGTAAAGGTGAAGTGATCATACATGTCACTCCTCATGTATCAAAAAAATCCAATATAAGACGACACTTTTTCCTTGTATGTAGTGGAAATTGTCTTTCCTATAAAGACCATATAATCCAATGAAATTGACAACTAAATGTCAAAATCGACTAGGTGCCATGTCATCTATAGCTTATCTGTTGTTTGGCAATAGCCAAAATCTAAACAGATATACATGAGCTCTCGCTTGTATAAATAGGCCCCAAATTAGTAGTTAATCCATCATCCATAACATTGAGAGCAATCAGAAACATACCAAGTGAAACAAACTAGCAACGTCCTCGCAACAATGGCTACCAAGATACTGGCCCTCCTTGCGCTCCTTGCTCTTTCCGTGAGAGCCACAACTGCGGTCATTATTCCACAATGCTCACTTGCTCCTAATGCTATTATTCCACAGTTCCTCCCACCACTTACTCCTATGGGGTTCGAGCACCCAGCTATGCAGGCCTACAGGCTACAGCTGGCGCTTGCGGCAAGCATCTTACAACAGCCAATTGCCCAATTGCAACAGCAATCCTCGGCCCATCTAACCGTACAAACCATCGCAGCACAGCAGCAGCAACAACAGTTCCTGCTAGCACTCAGTCAACTAGCCGTGGCGAACCCTACCGCGAACTTGCAACAGCAGCTGCCTGCATCCAACCCGCTGGCCCTGGCGAACGCTGCTACATACCAGCAACAACAACAGCTACAACATGTCCTGTCAGCACTCAGTCAACTAGCCGCGGCGAACCCTGCCGCCTACCTGCAACAACAACAACAGCTGCTTGCATCCAACCCACTGGCTGCGGCCAACGCCGCTGCATACCTGCAAGAACAACTAAAAGCATCTAGGCCCCTAGTTGGGTTTCGGTGATTAATGACAATACATGATTATTGTGACTAACGTGTGTTTTGCAGAGGTAATTAAGTTAGGTCATGGTAATGGAGATCGATTGGGCTATCATGGTGGTCATGCCCCTTCGATGGAAATCGTTTCGGTTTTTAAAGGATGGACGACAAGGTTTAGGATGGACTAGTTCTAAGTGTCGTTTGGTGTTGAAGAGACACTTAGAGTAGTTTAGGACTTTGTTTTTCCGTTGATCATACTATTAAGAGGGGTATGGGCGGGTAGCTTGACCTAGGTGAGTCTAGTGAGTTAGGTGTGGTGCACACTTGCTAAAACTAGCACTAGATAGCTCCAAAATAGCCTTTATATCCAATGGAGCAAACTTCATTCACGTATGATCGAGAGTTGGAAGTGAATGGAGGTTCAAATACTGACTGGATGCTGGCTCAGGGTCCGGTTAGTTCATTTGACCAAGGAGATTTCATCTGGTGCGACCGGACGCGGAGAGGTGAAGTGACCGGACACTGAGGACTAGCATCCAGTCGTTTCCAGTAAGGTTCCAGAGAGGGAAAATCACGACCAGATGCATCCGGTCGGTGCTGACCGGACGCTGGCCTGTCCAGTAAGGTTCCAGAGAGGGAAAATCACGACTGGACGCGTCTGGGCAGTGCTGACCGGACGCTGGCCAGCGTTCGGTCACACTTTAAACACTGGAACTTCGTGTGAACTGATCGGAGCATCCGGTCAACATGTCCGGAGCGTCCGATCACCCCGCAGAGGCACATAACGGTTAGTTTTTCAGCCAGTGTTATAAATAGTTCCTCCATTCGTGTGTGGAGGGACTTTTGCTCATTCCAACAGCTGAGAAACACCTTTAAGAGTGCCAAGAAGGGCAAGGTCCTAGTGAGGTGATTGAGATTTGAGAATCCCATGGAGAGACCTCATTAGTGAGATCAAGAGTAGCAAAGTGTCCATCCACCCTTCTCATTAGGCTTATCTTGGTCAAGTGAGAGTTCATGCTTGTTACTCTTGGTGATCGCCATCACCTAGATGGCTTGGTGGTGATTGAGAGCTTGGTGATCATCCGGCGAAGCTTGTGGATGACCCAACTCAAGTTGTGAGCGGTTGTGGGTGATTCACCACGATGGAGTGTCAAAGAATGTACCCGTAGAGAGCACTTGATCCTTGCGCGGATCCAGGAGGAGCTACACCCTTGCGTGGGTGCTCCAACAAGGACTAGTGGGGAGTGATGACTCTCTGATACCTCGGCAAAACATCGCCGCGTTCCTTCTTCTCTCTTTACTTTGAGCATTTACTTTGAGCAATTCATTTCTTGTCATTTACATTCTTAGAATTGCCATGCTAGAGTAGGATTGGAACATAGGTTGCTAAACTTTTATGTGGTAGATCAATAGAAACACCTTTTTAGGTATAAGGGGTTAATTGGGCTAACCATAGGATTTAATTCTTGCAAAGAAATTTAGAATTAGCCCAATTCACCCCTCCTCTTGGGCATCTTGATCCTTTCAATTGGTATCAGAGCCTCATGCTCACGTATTGAGGCTTAACCGCCTAGTGAAAGATGTCTCACGGGGATGGACCTCCTCCTATCTTTAAGGGGGATGATTTTCCTTATTGGAAAATTCGTATGGAGGCGTATTTAGAAACTCTAGATGTTGGAATACTTAGAGCCGCCTCACATGGCTTCCCAAAACCTCAGGATGCTACACACCTATAAGGCGATGAGGTGAATTATGAGAAATGGAATGCAAAGGCTCGAAACACCATCTTTAGAGGCCTTTGTAAAGATGTATTTAACCGGGTGAGGAACCACAAGGACGCCCATGCACTATGGTCGGACGTTTGTGCGCTCCATGAGGGAACAAAGAGTGAGCGTGAGGAATGCTATCATCTTGTCATGAAAAAGCTTAACTCTTTTGAAATGCTTCCTAAAGAATGTGTAAATGAAATGTACTCACGCTTGAATATTCTTGTAGAGGAAGATAATGGGCTTGGACTCACTTAAATGCAACCATCCGATGTTGTAAGAAAGATCTTGAGTGTCCTCCCTATTGACAAATATGGGCATATTGTGACCGTGCTTCATTAAGGTGATCTTTCCACTGCTACACCAACACAAATCTTGGGAAAGATCAATGCTCATGAGATGTACATGCACATCACACCTCAAGATGGCTCATCTTCTAACAAGAAGAAAGACAAGGACTTAGCATTCAAAGCTAGTCAAGAGAAGGGCAAAGCAAGGCTTGAGTATGAGAGCTCAAGTGATGACGAAATTGATGATGCAAGTCTTGTTCTTATGGTGAAAAGAACCGCCAAGATGCTAAAGAAGCTCAACAAGAGTGGCATCAAGTTTGATGGGAAGAAGAAGTTCTTCACAAGTTCTAGAAGGAAGCCAATCTCCGAGATGGATTGCTACAATTGTGGAGAACTTGGTTATCTAGCTCACCAATGCACAAAGCCCAAGAAAGACAAGTTCAAGAACAAGAACAAGGGCAAGAAAGATGACTCAAGTGATGAAGATGAGAAGAAGAAAGACAAGTCATACAAAAAGAAAGATGGCAAGAAGAGAGACTTTCACAAGAAGAAAAGTGGGAAGGCATACATCGTCGGTGATTGGCTCACGGACATTGATTCATCTAGTGGCTCATCCGATGATGATAGTGATAATGAGAAGGTGGTCGCCATTGTTATTGACTCTTCATCATCTTCACCACCACCACCGCCATCATCCTCTACACACCTATGCCTTATGGCCAAGGGTGATCGCAAGGTATCAAATGATGATAGTAGTGGTGATGAACATGCTAGCAGTGATGATAGCGATAGTGATGATGATGAATATGAATCACCTTTCTATGATGATCTTGTTAAATTGCTAAATCAATACACTAAGATCATTAGAAAGAGTAGAGCTAAGAATAAAAAACTAGAAGCTAAGAATGATTCTCTTTTAGCTAAATGTGATGTAACGAAAAAGGCTAATGTTGAGCTTAGAGAATCAAATGATGCTATGCTATCCAAACTCAAGGAGCTTAAATCTTCTAAGAAAGAGCTTAAAGAAAAACATGATAAATTTGAGAGGATACACAATGAGCTCATCACTAGCCATAACATGCTAAAAGATAAATATACTATGCTTAAGATTAATCATGATAATCTTGTTATTGCTCAAGAAAATTATATAATGAACCACATGATGCTACTAACAATGTTGTTAAGATTGATATAGCTACATCATGTGATGATTTGATCATTGAGAGCATTGAGCAAAGTTCTAGTAGCAAGGGCAAGCAAATGGTTGAGGCCGATGATTATGATGAGTTTGTCAAGCTCAAGAATGACAATGAGAAGCTCAAGAAAGATCTTGAAGAAATCAAAAGCCACAACACTATTGTGCTAGAAACTCTTGATCAAGATGGTGAGTTGATGCTTGAGAATGAGAAGCTCAAAGAAGAAAACAAGAAGCTCAAGGAAGAGAAAAACAATGATGCTCTTAAGGAAGAGAACAAGAAGCTTAAGTTGGAGAAAGAGCATCTCAAGATTGGATTGAGCAAGTTCACTAGAGGCAAATATCTTCAGAGTGAGCTACTAATGAACACCGTCATGAAGATGGATAGAAGTGGCATTGGATACATGGCAAACAAAGAGAAGAAGGCTCAAGATCAACAACAACAAAAGCCAAAGCCAAAGAAGTGTTTTGAGTGTGGACAAGAAGGCCACTTTGCTCATGAGTGTCAAACTCCACCACCACAACCCTTGCCCAAACATGCTAGACATTTTGCCTTCAATGCTCATTACATGCTTAGAAAGGACTCTAGTGGGAAGATGAAAGTCATGTTCTTAGGACCTCCCAACAAGAATAGGCCTAAGAAAATTTGGGTAGCAAAATCACTTTTTGAGAAGGTAAAGGGCCCTCAACAAGTTTGGGTTCCTAAAGCTTGATCTCTTGTGTGTAGGTGAACTACAAGGCCGGTGGTAGTCATTGGGTAATTGATAGTGGTTGCACACAACATATGATCGGTGATCCTTGTATGTTCACCTCACTAGATGAAGAAGTAGATGGACAAGAAAGAATCACATTTGGAGATAATTCAAAGGGCAAGGTTAAAGGATTGGACAAAGTGGCAATATCAAATGATCATTCTATCTCAAATGTGCTATATGTTGCTTCATTGAGCTTCAACTTGCTATCCGTTGGACAATTGTGTGATCTTGGCTTTCAATGCTTGTTTATCGAGAAGGAAGTTGTTGTATCTAAGAAAGATGATGACCAAGTGATATTCAAAGGATTTAGATACAACAACCTATATCTAGTGGACTTTACCTCCGAAGATGCTAACTTGAAGGCATGCCTATTCACCAAAACAACTCTTAGGTGGTTATGGCATAGAAGACTTGCTCATGTAGGGATGAGCTCACTCAAGAAGCTAATGAAGAATGATTTGGTGAGAGGGTTGAAGGACGTGAAGTTTGAGAAGGACAAGATTTGTAGTGCATGTCAAGCCGGCAAGCAAGTTGCAATTACTCATCCAACCAAAGCTTTCATGTCAACCACAAGAGTGCTAGAACTCCTTCACATGGATTTATTTGGACCAACAACATACAAGAGTTTGGGAGGAAATCTTTATTGTCTTGTGATTGTTGATGACTATTCAAGATACACATGGGTATTCTTTCTTCATGACAAATCCAAAGTTGCATCATGCTTCAAGAAGTTTGCCAAGAGAGCACAAAATAAATTTAAAATGAAGATCAAGAAGATAAGAAGTGACAATGGGAAGGAATTTAATAACACAAATATTCAAGCCTATTGTGATGAAGTTGGAATCAAACATGAGGTCTCCGCAAC